TAGATCGGTTGTTAACATAACTTACCTTTTACTAGCAATATAGTTACAGGTGCCATCAACAGTTTTAACTATAAACTTTTTATAGTATTGATAATATGTTGAGAAAGCTCGAGAGCATCCAGTCTTGTGGTCCGTGGCATTTGAATCAAGGATCCATGGGCTAGAAAAAGTAGCGTGCCATATGAGTGATACCTTGACGGACGTGTGAGGTTGATGGGTCGGAAGTGAACTGATTGGATCTGAGCTGTTGGATTAATTACTCCATCTGACTCATAAGAGTGTCAAGTGATTTCAGAGTGTTTCGAGTAGCTGGTTGAACCGTAGTAGATTCAAATGTCGTAGTGAGATATTTGACAGAGTAGGATTTGGATGAAGGTTTTATGCTGGTTTTCCCTGAAGTTTTCAACACTTTTTTCGAGTATGGTTGGGTTTGTGACAGTAATCACAAGTAAACCCAGTGGCTTGAGGAAGGTTTGACGAGTGTTGAATACTATTAGCGGTCAAGACAAATGATTTGACTGAAGTGGAAGTGCCGAACATGACAATCCTTCAGCTCCTTTTGTCAAATTTTCGTGAAGGCAGCAAAAGCGGAAGGAAGAGGATCCTGACTAAGGACATGGCCCTAGACTTCATCAAGGTTTTTGTTAAGGCCTGCTTGAAATTAGAATATGCGATATTTTTCTACAATTTTACAATTTTCTAAAAAAAGGAATGATCTGTCAAAGATTGTCACATGTAATCATAAGAGTATCACATTCCATCCATAAAGCTACTAAATCAATGTAGTATTGGGTCCCTGTCCTTGATCCTTGTTTCGCCTCACGGATCTTCTTGGAATCCTTATAAAGTTGGTTGGAGTTCCCTACATTTGAGTAGGTGTCTCGAACTACAGTCCATAGGGCACTAGCTCCATGGAGTTACTAAGCCAAGGCATGACTATGAAATTCTCTACTTTCCATGCTTTATACGTTTGATCAGTTTTAGAAGTTCACGAACCATTCTCGTGCGATCACAGAATTTCTCGTATCTCTTGATGAAGAAAGGCACTACTTGGGACCATTGGAGAATGTTAGATCCATTCAGTTTATAGGCGGTGATTAGGATGTTCATGTGGTTTTCTGGTCCTTCGGTCTATGGAGGAATTGAGAGTGTTGTTGACCATCCGGTGGGCTCAATACACTATCGGGAGAAGGCTTGGTGTTGGAAGAATCTGCCATGATACCAATTGAGCCAAATGTGACGTTGGATTGCCGAGATAGAGGAAAATCTTGAAGACTGGATAGGAGAATCACTGGCAGCTGAAAAAAAAAATAAATTTGGAAGCACCAGTCGGTGAGAGCGGGTCGTCTAGAGAAAATTTAGGCCGGCGGCGGGGACCTCCGGTGACTGGAAAAGATTGCTGGCAAGTCAAGCAGCGCTTCTGCTGCAGGGAGACAATGCTGAATCTCGCTGGCGGCAATGACCTTCTGCGGCTAGAAAGTGAGTCAACGACATGTAAAAGCCATTAGGTGGGAGACAGCCGGCTGGAGCACCAGCAGTAGGTGAAATAAATCCTCCACGGGAGGCAGGAAACGACAGTAGGGGAAGCCAACAACAAAAGAAAGCTAGCAGCAGGGAAAAAATAATCGGCTGGGAACACTAGTAGCAGGTAAAAAAATAGGAACCTTGTCGGCAGCTGGGAAATGTCCAGGAAGAGTCAACGACTTGGGTTAGATCTTTGGCTCTGATACCGTGTTAGGTTTGATAATAGAGCAGGAAAATTTTATTGATAGGATGAGGGGTCTAAGTACATATTACAAGACCCAAATAACAGGAAAGTTATGAATTCAGAAATAGACCAACTAGGAAATACATAAATATTGAAATGAAAAAAAGAAATGAAGCATATAAAAGCTAATAATAATTGCAACAGTAATTTGTCTAATAATTAGGCTAATAATTCTAATAGCAATATATTTTCAAAGTGAAGAAATGCGGAAAACAATATGCACTTCCTTCAAATGAGCTGGTAAAGCCATTATGTAAGCCACATTTCAATCCTCTCCACAATCTCAAATGGATTGACATTTCTGAGGTTCACTTTTTTTGTCCTCCTAAAATGTTGTACACCTTTCAATGGAGTGACCTTATTAAAACCAAACTCTCCAACTTCAAACTCAACGGGTTTATCCTTGGCATTAAAATGTTTCTTTTGTTTATCCTGCACTACCTCCAATCTATATTTGATCAGTCGAATCTTCTCAGTAGCATCATCAATTAAATCAGCTCCGATGATCTTTTTTTCACCTCTTTCAGCCCAATATAAATTTGTCTTGTATTTCCTTCCATATAAAGTTCCATATGGAGCCATCCCAATGTTAGTTTGATAACTGTTATTTTAAACAAATTCCACTAAAGGTTTATGTGATTCCAACCTCCACCAAAGTCAAGGACACATAACTTTAGTAGATCGTCCAAAGTCTGAATAGTTCTCTCTGACTGACCTTCTGTATGAAGATGAGATGCTGTGTTGAAAGTCAGTCGTGTGACCAATGCTTTTTGAATTTTTTTACACAATCTAAAAGTAAACATGTCATCTCTGTCAGAAATTATAGACTTTGGCACTCATTCAACCTCACAATTTGATCCACATATAATTTGGCTGATATCTCCACTGGATCTGTCTGTCTAATAGGCAAGAATTGACCAAACTTTGTCAATTGTTGATGATTACCCATATAGCATCATGACTTTGACGTGATTCAGGCAACCCAATCACAAACTCCATCGCAATCTACTCCCATTTCCTCTCTAGAGTTGATAAAGGCTGCAACTGATTTCCAAGATGCTAATGCTTTGCCTTCATTGACATGAAGGACATACATGAAGGACATCCACAAATTTTGCTAGACTTTTCTTCAATCCTGGAAACCAAAATGCTTCTTTGAGATCCATTTACATTTTATTACTTCCTGGGTGAATATTACAGTTAGATAAATATGCTTCTTCTAGAATTTCTCGTCTCAAATCATCAATATCCGGAACATAAACCCTATCTTTATATCTCAATAAACTATCTTGATTTAGCACATACCTCTCCAAACCGTCTGTCTTAACTTGTTCTAGGGTTTTCTAAGCACTGTTATCTCTGGCTAAAGAATATTCAATTATGTCCTTCAAAGTTGACTGCACCGTCAACTGAGACAAATTAAGTGTGCGTTGATACAATCTATGCAGGTATTCATCCATAATATGCAGAAAATTCTAATTCTAATAATGTTAAACACGTAATTACATGGAAACGTACAAAGAATTTTTGTTCTTAAGTTAGTACATGATTATTTCAACTGAATTGATGGAACAACTCGACGACGAGTTTCGCTACGCTTGCCTCGAGCTCACAGCTTTGTGAGAACAATATGAAATTCAAATTTCATGAAATCTAGGTTTATCTTGCAATTTCAATTAAAATAACTCGTGAATTTTTACCTTAAAGTGCTTCTTCGTTACTTCCTTACTTCCTATACATTTTTCCTCTTCCTCTTATCACCTTAATCTACCCTTTTTTTCACTCGTTTTTTGCTAAATGACCCTTACAAAAGTCCGCAAACTAATTTTGTAGTCTCCTTTTTTTCACTCGTTTTTTGCTAAATGACCCTTACGGAAGTCCGCAAACTAATTTGACACTAGGTAGCCTTTGCTACAATTGTCAGAAATGAATAAATGTTCCGATTTTTGGTAAACTTCAAAGTGAAAATGCGAGGAAAGAAAAGATATCACAAAAATTGTAAGAAGGGGTTTGTACTCACAGAAATCTCCCTGAGACGTTGAACTGCGAGTTTTGACTCTCTGCGAGTCGTCCAATGGCGCCTGTACTGTAGCGATGCTCGCTGGATTCCTCAGGCTTGTGAAATCGAAAGATGGAGAAGTTAGAAATGAAATGGAGTACGATTTATAATTTAGATTCCATTTAGTCCAGCTGTTCAGTTGGATTGATTCGTTGCATGGCGAGTAACGTGTAGCTACCAGATTGTTACAGTGTCGCATCGAGGTTAGGAAGATTAATCAAGTGTAATTAAGACATTAATTAACTAATTATTTCAAAATTTTATATCTTCTCTTATACTTACAATTCATGCATAATGCTACATATCAAATTGAACGATTCAACATATAGAATTTTATAAAATCGCTTCGATTGAATTTCGAGGTTAAATCTATTAAAACTTATCAAGAGATTTTTCTTTAAAATCATATAGTAATTGATTAACATTCTCAAAAATGGACTTACTCTTAGTCACATTATTATTTAGTCAAATAATGACTGGCTCAAATCATTTCTTCAACCCACTCTCCTTTTTAAAGCATGTTGATTTAAAATTTGCGAAAGTTTCTTCAGTTCATTAGTAGCATTATACTTTTTTTTTGGACATTGAAGGACATGCTTTTTTTTTTAATATTTTCAAAATTATCTTCTTGCTACTGATCTTAAACACTAAATATTGAACTTCTCAAAACATGTCACGTTTAAATCATAAAACTAAGACCTACCTGAAATGATATTTTCAGCATTTATAGATAAATTATCAGTGTTCACTATATTAGTATGTTGAATGGGAATCAAGCATCATAAGTGTTATAGAAATTGCAATTTTATCCACCCAAGCATTTTATTTTTCTTTTTGCATTGATTATCCTAAAAGTATAGGATCCTCTCACAAGGTGCTCAAACCATTTCATTACGTCATATTATGTTTATATTGATTAAGGTGAGTTGGAGGCGGCAGAATAGTGATACAAGCACATGTATTGGCATGTGCATGCATTTTTTTTTTCCATTTCTTCCTTACCTGTATGTGAACTTATCATTTATCTCCTCCCACCATGGTGGAAACCTAAGCTGTTATATTCCCTCTCCTGTCATAGGATTTTTCAATCTGATGTGTGCATATGAGTAATTTGTCTAATCTTTTATTAATAAATATTGTTAATCTTGTTTATCTTTCCCTTCTCTTTCACAGGTGGAACCTGCAACTCTAATTTCTCTAGCTCATGGTTCCAGACAAGTGTTTCTTGTAAGTTTTCTCTTTTCTTACCATTCTAAGATACTTCTTCTCGAGTTATTGTCGGGCCCTTAATCCAATTAAATTTGTTATATTAAGACTCCTGAATTTAGCTTCTTCCCGGTATTCAAATGTGAGCTACTGTGAATAGCTAAGCATCAGTTTTTTGCTAGCCTGTTTGTACTTGTACGTGTTTAAAAGCAGTTCTGATGCAGGTGCGGAATATCCTGCACCAGCGGTTCGTCCCAGCGCTGCTCGGGAGTACCTGAACTGTTTTGGGTTTGGTTTTTCTCAACCCCCTTGGGTCGGCCTGCCCTTTAGGGCTTCTATTTATTTGTTTAAATTATGATTGTAGTTGCTTTGATAGTTCTATTATATATATTTTGATATGAACTGGTTTGAGGGACTTTTTCTTTTGGTTTATGTTATTTGAATTTTGAGGACTATTTTCTCTATTTTCTCCTATTTGGAAAGCTGTATTATATTGTTCTTCAATGGTGAATCTGTATCCCAAATAGAATATGGGGTGGATTCTTCCTGTCATTCGTGCCTCAATGAAAGTGCCGCTGATTGGTATTTCGCCGCTTTGTTCTCTATTGGATAGTAGCCATGCTAGATATTCCTACAATCCTTGTTGATTCTCAGATTGTTCCTTTTTACTATTCTCCAAACCTCCCCAACACTTATCTCGATCCGCATTTACTTTCTAGGAACCCTAAAATAGTATCATTTGTTTTCAGAGCCTTTACACCCCTAATTTGTTAAAAAGAAAAAATTTAAACTCTACCCCACAACCCATGCATACACCTTCCACTAAATCTAAACCTAAACCTAAACCTGAACCTAATTTTCGGCCAACTGCCAACTCTAGATTCAAAATTTTCATTTGGCAGAAACCCTAAAGAAAGTATACCATCTTGCTGCCAAGGATAAACTAGCAAAAGATTATTCAAGATTATACCATGGAGGATATGCCGTGGGTTATCCTCTAATTTCAATAGAGATTTGCTGATTTTCAATGAAGATAACATGAAAAAGTCATCCACAAAGGTGACCACTCGGCTGTTGAAGATGATGAAATTTATTTTGCCAAGAAGTCTCAATGAAAGGCCAAAATCACATGAGTTCGACATTTGGGTATATGAATAAAAAGGAGACTTTGAAGTGATGGTTAGATTTATTAGATTTTGATGGTTTTATGAATCCAAATAAATTCGAGTAGCTTTGGATAGTGGAACCGGTCTTCGATTACAAAAATATTCCACTTGATAGAATGGTGAAGCTAGTTATTATTAAGTTAAATAAGATTGCTTTTCTATGATAAGAAAATTTTAGGCGCATGCACCAACTTGAGGAAAATAATATGATCATAACCTAGTCCATGATGTATTAGAAAATGCAACGTAAGTACCTCCTAGCACATTACAAATAAAATATGAGCTTGAGACTTCATCACTCTCCACAAAATGACTTATAGAAGAGTACAATGCTGAGCTTGAATAACTTAAATTGAAATGTGAGTTTGTGGAGCCATATAAAAACTTGTAGCCCACTATCTTTGAGGATTGAGTTCATCCATTGGCAATGTGATGCAATTACAACTTTGTTGGACTTTATAGGATTGCTAAATCTTAGCCCTAAAGGCGGAGAAACAACACAATAATTTTATGTTTACTGTACCCTTTAAATAGGGGTCGATCATGGGGTCGGGAAACTAGAAGACTGACCAGAACGGCCAAACTTGCCTAATGTGAGAATTCAACATAGGAAGGAAAAAAACGGATCAGACCAACACTCTCAAAACATTACTATAGAAGTGTTTGAAGATATAAATGCAGTGTTTCCAATTGTTTAAACAGGTGAGTGGTTTCTTTTACTGGTTAGGGTGCAGTGAAAAAAGTAGATTATTGTGACTTTAGAGAGGAAGAGGATATGAAGGAGTACCAACTACTTGCAGGTGATAATGAGATGAATGTGGTTTGATGAGTTCTCCAGTCCAAGTCCAAGAGGGACTAGGATGGCTTTACATCTTTTATACCTATTGCATTGTGAAGAAAAAAGTGTGCATTTCGCTATAGACAAAGATAGTTGTGAGAATGTAATATCTACATAAATGGTAAACAAATTGAGCATCACTATCCAGGAGCATTTTTAGCCATATTTACTAACCTAGTTGAAGAAAAGAAATGAGATTAATATTGAAAAGAGATGTCTTATAATGTTTTCTATTGGAGATAGGTATAAGATCAAGTATTGTCTGACATCGTGTCAGTGGATGTAAGACAAATTCTATTAGGCCTATCTTGACTGTATGTGAGGGGCATACATCATGATGACAATGAATTTAAAAACATCTACTCATTTATCAAGTATGGGAACATATTGTACTTTTACCCCTAAATAAGTCAATAGTGATGAGTACTCAAATGGAGGTGGGAGCTAAAGTGCCTAGTGCAATGTTTCTACAAATTGAGAGGCACTAGTAGGATTAGTTTTGGTGATGTTGGAGGGCAGTTAGACGGATGAGTTGATAACTAAGGTAGTACAAGCATTATTGGAGAAGTTTCTGGATATTCTAACTGACAGTCCACCGCCCACATTATCACCCCTACGAGAGATTTAATATGTTATATATCTAGTTCTAGAGTCAACGCTCCTATACTGATGAATTTAACTAATGCGACTATTAGAGTAAAGCGTTTTAAAAGCAAGTTGAAGATCTAATGGCTCGGAAGTTAGTTTGTGAGAATAACAGTCTGTGTTATGTTAGCTTTGATTGTGTCCAAGAATGATGAATCGTAACATATGTGCATTGATAGTAGAGTAGTGAACAAAATCGGTGTTAAGTACCGTTTCCCTATTTTGAGATGGGATGATTTATTGGATCAGTTGAATGAAGTTAGCATTTTTTTTAAACATAGATCTGCACAGTGGATATCACTAGATTTGGAGGAGGTCAATGGATGAGTGAAAGATTGCCTTTAAGATTTGGGATGGATTTTATGACTGGATTGTCATGCTTTTTGGCCTTTCCAATGCACCAAACAGTTTTTTGAGGATGATGAACTAGATTATTGAGCTTTTAATGGAAAATTCATGTTTCTGTACTTTTATAATATTCTAGTGTATGGTCATTTAGAGTGAGAGCACTTGCAACATTTACGTTTCTGGATATTCTAACTGACAGTCCACCGCCCGCATTATCACCCCTACGAGAGATTTAATATGTTATATATCTAGTTCAAGAATCAACGCTCCTGTACTGATGAATTTAACTAATGCGACTAGTAGAGTGAAGCGTTTTAAAAGCAAGTTGAAGATCTAATGGCTCGGGAGTTTGTGAGAATAACAGTCTGTGTTATGTTAGCTTTGCTTGTGTTCAAGAAGGATGAATCATAGCATATATGCATTGATAGTAGAGTAGTGGACAAAATCATTGTTAAGTATCGTTTACCTATTTTGAGATGGGATGATTTGTTGGATCAGTTGAATGAAGTTAGCATTCTTTTTTAAAGATAAATCTGCACAGTGGATATCACTAGATTTGGAGGAGGTCAATGGATGAGTGAAAGGCTGTCTTTAGGATGTGGGATGGATTTTATGACTGGACTGTCACACTTTTCGGCCTTTCCAGTGCACCAAACAGTTTTATGAGGATGATGAACCAGATTTTTGAGCTTTCAATGGAAAATTCATGTTTCTGTACTTTTATAATATTCTAGTGTATGGTCATTTAGAGTGGGAGCACTTGCAACATTTACTTTTCTGGGTATTCTAACTGTTAGTCCACCGCCCACATTATCAACCCTAAGAGATTTAATATGTTATATATCTAGTTCAAGAATCAACGCTCCTGTACTGATGAATTTAACTAATGCGACTAGTAGAGTGAAGCGCTTTAAAAGCTTGAAAATCTAATGGTTCGGTAGTTAGTTTGTGAGAATAATAGTCTGTGTGTTATGTTAGCTTCGATTGAGTCCAAGAAGGATGAATCATAGCATCTGTGCATTGATAGTAGACTAGTGAACAATATTATCATTAAGTACCATTTCCTTATTTTGAGATGGGATGATTTGTTGGATCAGTTGAATGAAGTTAGCATTTTTTTTAAAGATAGATCTGCACAATGGATATCAATAGATTTGAAGGAGGTCAGCGGATGAATGAAAGACTGCCTTTAAGATGTGGGCTCGATTTTATGACTAGACTGTCATGCTTTTCTGCCTTTCCAATGCACCAAACAATTTTGTGAGGATGATGAACCAAATTTTTGAGCCTTTAATGGAAATTCATGTTTCTGTACTTTTATAATATTTTAGTGTATGGTCATTTAGAGTTGGAGCACTTGTAACATTTACGATAGTTGTTTAGAGTTCCTCGGATAGAGCAATTGTATGACCATCTAAATAAGTATCATTTTCATACGCTGCATATATGTTTCCTTGGATATATTATTTCAGCGGTCAATATCAAGATGGACTCCGTTCAGATCAAGACTATTGTGAATTGGCCCAACCCACAATCGTTCACCCAAGTAAACCAATTTCATGGATTTTTTTCCTTAAAATTTTATAAAAATTTTAACTCCACAGTGGCCCCTGGACAAAGCTCTTAAAGTCAGACAATCTCATCTGATAAAATGAGGTACAATAATTTTGATTCTTTGTAGAAACATGTTATGTGGGCTTCTGTCCTAGCTCTTCTAACTCAGGTATTCGGGGTACAATGTGATGCATCGAATATGGGGATTGGAACTGTGCTGAATCATGATTGACACCTTATTTTACACTTCAATGAGAATTTGAATGATTTCAAGAGAAGATATTCTACCCATGATAAGGTATTTTATGATATTATGAAATTTATTAGTCATTAGAGTCATTATTTGTTGGCGAATGAGTTCACACTTTATACTGACCACACGACCTTGAGATTCTTTTACAGTCAGAGAAAGCTAAAGGGTAGCATGTGTCCTGGGTGGTTTTTTTTTCTTTTCATTTTGTGCTCAAGCA